TAGGTGGGCCCCAGGAAGGTCCCCAAAACGAGCATCGAATCCACCCCTCCCCTGGTCATCGCCCCCCTCCTGGCCACCTCCGAGCTCTGCCCGAACCGCTTCGCCGGGGACCGCGCCGGGGGCACCCGCTTCGCCACGGACCGCCTCGACGGCGGGCCGCCGGAGGGCAGCTCCTCGGGCACGCCGCCCCGCAGGAGGGCCACTTCGCCGGCGGGCCCGCAGCAGTCGGGCCCTGGCGCAAGACGAAGCCAGGACGAGGACAAGTTCGGGCGAGGACGGGTCGGGGATCTCTGAGATGCGGCGGCTCTGGGGGAGGTATTTGGAGCCCCGAAGCGGTGCGGTGACAGACCGTGCGGTGACCTCGAAATTCCCCAAGGCCTCACCGCACGGTCCGTCACCGCACGGTCTTGGGACCCCGGAGGCCCCTGTCGCCCGAGACGTCCTCGGAGAACGACCCGAGTCCCAAAACCGTGCGGTGACCCCAAAAAATCCCCACCGACTCACAGCACGGTGTGGTCACCACCCCGTGTGGGGACCCCCGAATGTATCAGGCGACGCGGCCTTCTCCGAGCGTTCCGGGACGATCTGACGGCGTTCTGGGACGCTTTTTGAAACGTACTCCTCGCCCCGTCCGATGACGGGCGGCTTGGGTTAAGTCGGGCCTGTCCCCCTACATGGGGATTTTCGACGAAAAATGAAAAATACCCCCAAAATAATCAAAAAATGCTGAATAGTCTGGGGACTATGTTTTATATTTTGTGCTTTTTGGGAATAGTTTGGGGGTGTTCTTATTTTTTCGTCCAAAATCCCCCTGTAGGGGGACACGCCCGACATGAGGCTTGGGCGAGCGGGCGGGCGGACCCCGACGGGCGCCTCGAGCGGGTCGGGCGCGCGGGACCTCGCAGCAGGCTCGGCGGACCGCCAGGCCCCCAAGCGGGCGGGCTGGGCGTGCAGCCCCGGACGGGCCGCGGGCGGAGCGGAGGGGTCCCGGGCGAAGCGGAGGGGCGACGCGGTCCAGGGCGACCTCCTCCTCCTCCTCCTCCTCCTCCTCCTCCTCCTCCTCCTCCTCCTCCTCCTCGGCGGCGGCGGCGGCGGCGGCGGCGGCGGCGGCGGCGGCGGCGAGTGAGGGGGGGAAGTGAGAAGGAGAAGGCCTTCTCAGAAGGCGGCGGGGCTTCTCAGAGGCCCTCGCGACTTCTGCGAGGCGCCCCGCCTCCTCGGGGAAGGCCTGTACAAAAAACTTCGCAGGAGGCTGGAGGACTTCCGAGCCCTCCAGGGAGGCCCCGCCCCTCGCACTTCCCGCCCCCAAGGCGCGCCGCCGACTCCGGGAGGCTCCACAGAGGTCCCCCCGGGGAGCAGCACGACGGCCGTGCAGCGCCACGGCCGCGCTGCGGTGCGCTGCTGCACTGCTGAGCTCGAGAGCCGATGGTCGAGGGATGGAAACACGACCCTACCCTGGGTTACACGTGCGTCGTCTGTACACCTCCCGGGAGCCCCCAAAGCCTGGAGCCGCCAGGACGCGGCACCTCACGCAGGGTTGACCCTGCCAGCGCACAGGAGTTTCAGCGCACAGCGCCTCGTAAACCAGGGTTAGGGGCGTTTTTTCGGCCCTTGAGATGGGGCGAGGTCCATCCGCCTCCGCCGGCCGTCCACCCGCCGAGGCCGGGGGCACGGGGTGCCCCGGGCGGCGCCACTCTCGAGCCGGAGGGCCTCAGGGAGGAGAGCCCGGCGAGCGCTCGGGGGGCTCACGTGCGAGACGCTGGACCGGGGACCGCTCTGGGGTCGGGAGGCGCGGCGGCAGAGGCGCGCGGCAGCGCCACTGGACGTACTTTCCCAGAGGCGACTTGCTGAATGAACCCCGTGATGGTCAAGTCTGCGAGCTCTGGGTTGAGCACCAACTCCATCGCTGCATTCTGAGGAAAATAAACGATTCGCAGAGGATGTGGATACCGCACCTCGCCCTGACGCGGCTTGAGGTCCCCAACGATGAGCTTTAGAAGGGTACTCTTGCCAGCTCCATTCTCTCCTACCAGTGCCACGCGATCGCGCGAGCACAATGAACAACAAATGTTGTTGAGTGTGGCAGGCATTTTGCCGTTGTAGTCGAAGCTTACATCGCTCACGCTCAAAATCACGGCGTCGGTCTCTCCAGCAGCCTGGCCTGCAAGGGTCAAGGCAGCCATTCCCTGCGTCTTTAGCAAGCCCGACCCCTCACAGCGTTTCTCGAGCCGCTCTCGGACCCGATCCATCTGGGCTGCACGATTCTTGATGGCCTTCTGTAGCTTCTGCTCGGCACACATCGCACTCGTACGCGCCGCCCTGGCACCGGAAACGTTGACCCTCTTGGCGTAGCCGCCATCAGCCTTCTTGGCATGCTGACTCAACAGCTTCTCGGTCCGAGCTGCAGTCGCCTCTTCAGCAGCTGTCGCTTTGCTTGTGCGGTCTTTGACTTCAGTCTCCTGGGCCTGCGTGTGCAAAAACGACTCGTATGACCCGTTAAACTGCTTGAGCGATCGCCCACCCATTCCTTCGCTTATGTAAAGAATGTGTTTGGCAAGGGCGTCAAGCAGCTGCTCTTTGTGAGTAACAACAAGAATGATGGCATTGGACTCCTTCGCAGATTGTTCCCCAAGAAACCGAATCAACCAATCAGTGGCTTGTTGATCCAAGAACGACGGCTCGTCAATTATCAGAAGCTCTGGACGAGACAACAGCGCTGATGCCAACTTCAACCGATACAGCCACCCACCAGACAGCTCGCCACATGGAGTCTCATGAACCCCGCGTTGAATGAATCCTAATTCTCTCAACGACTTCTCTGCAACCTCTTCTAAGCCGGATTCGTCCAGCGAGTCCATTGCCGCATACAGAAACCCTAATCGTTCGGCTGCTTTTGCTGCGCAATCCCCATCTGCATCTGCCGACAAAACCTCTTCAACCTCTTGGATCTGCTTTTCAATCGCTTCCCGCTTCTGGCGCATGGTATGCAACAGATAGTCTAGCGGCAGTAGCTCTGCAGTGGGGCGTGAACCATTGCCAGAGATGGACTCCAGACGGACCCAATCGGACCGAATGAGAGCAACGGATCCTACGTCCCCTTGCCTGGGTCACAAGGCTGCGAAACCCAGCTTTCATACCAAGCGGCATTCATACATACGTATATACATATAGATCACAAATACATGTGCGTGCACACGTAAGTTTATGTGTACATACATTATGAATACATATACCACATGCGCCGATGTCTACCTACATGTATATACATGCATATCTATATATATATATATATATATATATATATATATGTGTGTCTATGTAAATGTATCTGTATATGTGCGAGTGTGTGCGTCTCTTGTCTGACAGCCTCAGTACTAGTCCAGTGTTACGAATGTGCCAGTGCTGGAAGTCTCTTGGAGCCATTGTGAAGCCGTCTGCCGAGCCGGTTGGATCGTCTTGGGGCCCCCTTAGGTCGTCACAGACCACCTGGACCGCCTGGAGGCCCGTTGGACAGTGTTGGGGCTCTCGTCGCGCCGGCTGTTTGAAGTCCATCTGGAGGGCCCTACTGGGGCGTCTTGGGGCGCTCTTGTGCCATCTCGAGCCCCACCTGGGCCGTCTTGGACCCATCCTGGGCCCCTTTTGGAGCCCTCAGGGGCGCCTTGTCGGGGCCCTCTTAGGGGGGTGATTGGGGGTCTCTTGTTTTTTTTGTTGGAGGGTGTCTTGAAGTCTCTTGGGGCTGATTTGGACCCCGCTTAGCGTGCTGTTGGGCCCTCTTAGAGATCTCGTGGGTCCGCTGGAGAGCCTCGCGGGGCACTTTGAGTTCGTCTTCGGGCGATCGTGGAGATCCACATCCCTTCCCAGCCAGAATGCTCTCAAGACAGGGATCCATCCGATCGGGGGTACGTAGTGGTGGGGTAGAGGCAGAGGTCGAGTTGGAAAAAAATCGCTCTGAACGGCCCCAGAAGAAAGAAATGTGAGCAGCCAGCCAGCTTCGTTCCCAAATCCAGCCTTGGGAGAGCCTTCGGTGGCAACTCATGGGAGCCTCCCCTACTTATCTTGTCGGCTCTTGCGAATCGACGCTGGTCGACGCTAAGTCGACGTTCATCGACGCTAGTTCGACGCTATTCGACGCCAGCTCGACGCTGTTCGACGCTGACCGACGCCAAATCGGTGCTGTCTCGTCGACTCCCAGACGCTCATCAACGCCAGTCGACGCTAAAGACGGAATTCCGAGGGCATCCCAGGCTCCCACGGTCTGCTGCCGGAGAGGGCCCCACCCCGCTCGGCGTGCCCCCGACCAGAAGAGGGGGACGGCGGCACGGCGCGGTGCCTCCTCGGACAGGTCGGGGAAGCCCTTGAGGGCCGTCAGTGAGGCCAAGAGGCTGCTCTTGCCGAAACCGTTCGGCGCAACCACGGCGTGCACGCTCCCGTGCTCCAGGACAACCCTGGACACTCCAAATAACTCGTGGCCTCCATATCGCAACCCGATTTCCAATACCAGCTGGGACCCGTTGTACTCCACGACGCCAGAGCCATCCAGCATATCCGCCGACATGGTCCAAGACCAACGGGAAATACGACGAGAGCACTTGACTCGAATACCTCTTGGGCCGGAACAACTACAGGCCCACACCGATGACAACGAGCATGGTAATGGTGATGACGAAGGCGGCGACGATCATGGTGATGGCGGTGGCGGTGATGTGGTTATGGATAGACCCGCGTCTGGAATCCTTATCCTTATTGCGCTGTGGGCTTGCCAACAAGCCTCGTTGTTCTGTGTTGTTTGCCAGCGGCCTGCTTCCATGCCAAAGCTTGACATGTGGCCTCCGAAGGGAACCTGCGGTATGACGAGGTGGTCTTGACGATGGCGACGGCATTGCTGCCTCAACCAGCTCCAGGCCAGGGGCATGCAGACATGAAAAGCAGGCCCCTGCCGACAAAAAAACACACATGCAAAACAAGGGGAGGAGGTGAGAGCATGACTGCCCAAGCGCAATGTG